CGTTGGGTCGTCTCAGGGCATTGCCTTGGAGCGACCTCCATCACCACCCGCAGTGACCTACGAGGTGGCGACCGGGGGTCGCTCGACGAGGCTCTGCATCCCTCCCCTGCCCCAAAGCCTAGGGGACGTACAGCTGGAGACTCTTATCACTCTGCCTGCAGAAGACCAGGCTCGTATCTCGGCAGGCTCCGAGGACGACCTTGACAACATGGTCCTTTTGAGGCTCAGTCAGGTACTGGTCTTGATCTCCTATGCATCACTCCTTTTCTTTAGGCCCCTAACCCTCACCCCTTTGCGCAGGCTACGCTGGGGATGATTGAGGTGGTCAGCCGAAAACGGGGTCGCCAGGCCGCCGCGGACGAGGCGATGAAAGCAGCCGAGGCCAAGCAGAAGGAGCTGCAGGAGGAGGTCGCTCGACTCACCAGAGAGTTGGAGGAGAAAGAAAATCGATGCGCGGCGCTTGCTGTGGAGAAGGCTTCCCAGGAGAACCGCTGCGTCGCCCTTGAGGCAGACAAGGCCTCCTTGTCCTTGGAGGTAGAATCTGTTTCTGCTCGAGTGGTCGAGCTGGAAGGGGAGAAATATGACCTGATCCAACAGTTGGAGGTGGAGAGGAGCGATCGGGTCTGCCATGCAGAGGGAGTGGTAGAATCCTTCAAGTCCTCTCCTGACTTCACGGTAGTCGCGATGGAGCGGATGGAAGAGCAAACGGCCGCTTGGCTCAAAACTGAACCTGGGGCTCAGTGGATGGTCAAGGAGGGAACCAAGTCCTTCAATTGCGGACTCTTCCATGCCCAACAGGTCTTCCACGACCGGCTGGCCCAGCTCCCTAAAGGATTCTCTCTCCCCGACCTTGGCTTCCCTCCTCCCTGCCACTCCTTGGCCGAGTTCAACCCCAGTCCCTATCTGGACGGGGGGAGCTCGAGTGCGTCGGAAGAAGAGGAAGAAGAAGAAGTGGAAGGTGGTCAGAGCGACCAGAATCCAGGGGCCAGCTTAGCCATGTCCAAAGCGGGTGGACCTTCCGGCTCGGCCGTCTAAATCCCCCATTGTTCCCCCATAGCTTTACCAACACTCGCCTCTCTCTTTTCCATCGGAATGATTTGTCGTTTTGATACAATGCTCCTATGTTGTTTCTGATTGGACCTTCGCGCGGCTCAAGGCTGCTTTATTGGTTCGGCTGCCTCGAGACTTGACCGCCTCTTCAGTTCCTTCGCCCTGGCTTATTTATAAGTCCCCCTGGCCTCTACTCTGCTCCATCACCAAATATCCTCCTTTTCTCCATTCTTGCCATGTCTGAAGGAATTCCTGTTTCTCTAGATCTTTCCGACGGGCCGGCTCCTTCTTCGCCGGAGCCTGCCCGTGGGGGCTGGCAGCCTCCTCCAGGTCCGGTTACTTGTGGACGGTCGCTCTGACCGAGGAGGTGGCCCTCTAGCGATCAGCTGATCCATCTCCTTCTTCAGCGTAACGCACTCCGACGTGTTATGGGTGCTGTTACGGTGGTACTCGCAGTATTTGGGTGCATCTTGCACACCATAGCTTTCCCGACCATGAGGAGGGGCCGGCAACGACTGTACCGCGTGAACGGGATGCATGTTCGCATGATACCCGGTGGGGTTCGGCCCCTTACCATAATCCTTCCTTTTCTTTCCTTCTGCCA